GGTTAATGGTTGAAGATTCGGAGTGCGCAACCCTATCACTGCCATTGGAATTGTTACCCCCAACATTCTTAGGGTCTAGATGATTCCTTGTTCTTGGCATCGAGCTTCCTCAAAACAAACCACAAGTTATCCCATCGGGCGTGCCACAAAGATGTTTTGCCGAGATTGGATCATCAACGAAATATCTTTTATCGAAATTCGTTCTTCGATTTTTATTAAGAGCAGACGGTTTCTGTGGCAATTTCGAACAAGAGTTGTATTAATGGAACATAAGGAACATATACGCTTCAACAAAATTTAATCAACGATGAAGCCCAATGAAAAGAATAGTTTAGCCGGAACTTAATTGACGACAAAGTGTGATGACAAATATACAATGTCAGAATTTAATCGACAACAAATATGTTTGAAACTACAACTAAAGTGCGAGAATTGAAAGATATTTAAATTGCGGAAAAGTAAAAGATAAATTTGCGAGAGCCTTAAGTTCTTCGATTGATTAATCGGGACTTTACAAGGAGTACGATGTGGCTATTTATAGCCCGCAATCAACGGTTACATAAGTAGTTAAAACCTTGAAATTCAAATAATAAATAACTTTCTAATGGTGGTTACAAGAAGCTATGTTATTCACGAACTCCTATTATCTATATCACTTATCCATAAGAAGATATAAAATCCCTATATTAGCGGCAACAAAACATAATTACCTGACAATTACGTCTTCGCGTCAATTTCCGTCGTCGATGACTTTGTCAAACAACTTCTCAAGTCTTAGTGAAGGCTTTCGTCGAAAACTAAGGTTGTGGATGACTTCATTTAGCGAGTTGTTGATTGTTCTGTTTATTATTGACCAAACTTCGCTCTTATCGACTAAATTTGATGCTTGTTAATAATAACAAAAAAATTTGTCATTTTTTTATATCAAGTCATCACCTTTAATGTATCTTATATTCTATCTCCTATTGTTGACACCAAAATAAGAATCGGCATAGACGCTGAGTCGGCTTTAATGCCGAATCTGGTGTATAATGAAAATCAGCCATCTTCCGAAATACGTTTGGATAAAATTCGGAAACATGCTGGGAAGCAAGCGTGAATGGCATCATATCCCGAATTCGGTAATTGGTGAAGATCGAGATATTTACCGAAGCATGGAAAGTCATAGTTCGGGAGTTTGTAAAAAAAAAAAAAAGGAGCGTTGGAGCCATTGTGCCTCGGGACGTTGACTTTTTCCCGAAATTCGGGAAGTATATACTTCGGGAATATACCGAAATTACAGAAAATCGGTAAAGATGAATCACGGCCCAACCACGTGAATCATGATAGCAAGAAGTTATGAGCAAAAAGCGGAGATAGTGAGCACGAGCAAATCGTGGGGAGTTACTTGTCCAAATTTGAAGTCGTTCCAGCGGTTGAGATCAAGTTTTGGTGGACAATGAAACTGGAAAACGTGGTTAGATAAGGCAATTATTGGAAGCGCCAAGGTTCAAAGTTTGAAAACATAAAAATAACCGACAAGCAGTTACAGGATATGAGGAGATACAAACACTCAGAAGAAAGAAGGAGGAAAAAGGATGAAGAACAATGCAAAAATACTCAAGCTTATCTGCACTTTAGTTTCCTCTGTACCTTTACTTCCTGCATTTACAACTTCCTGCAACTTTAGTTAACTTTCAAGTTCTTTACAGCTTTCATAGGAGTATTGTAACGTAGCTTGAAACTTCGTTGATCTCAGATCCATTTTCAATCCATTCGAATTCTATCTGTTCCATATAATCCTGTGCTACACTCTGTTTTTTTTTTTTGCCACAACTCTACTAGAAATCAAGCCACAGAACCTATCTTAATAAAAATCGAAAATCAAAGTTTCGGTAAAAGGTATTCCTCGTCGTGAAACGAGCGGACACCTATCCGTGGCCTTCTCCAACAAATGAAGTTGACAGTTAATCACAGTGTTAGAAGAGAAGGGTAGATAGGGACTTGCTTAATGAATCGAGCTCTTAAATCGTGGGTGTTGTTTCGTCCCAACAAGAGTTAAAAAATCGTTCTAAAAGTGGTCCATTCGCGATCCCCCGCTGAAGATAGAAGCTTTACAAAGTGTTGGAGCTGCTCTGTCTTTATCCCGGACAAGATCAGAGCGAGAAGGACAGAAACAGAGACATTTTACCTGAGTCGCGACCACTTTGCAATTTTCAATTCGGTCAAAAGGAGTTCGCGTCGCTATGTTCCAACAATATTTGCCAACCTCGCACTGCAAGTGCCATGCGACCCGTGATACAAGAACCTTTGTATTATATTCTACTGTACACATAAATTTCTTTTTCTTTTTTATTCCACACATCCATCAACTGTAAATACAAAAGAAAAAGATCCGGCGCAGGGATGTGGTCATCCGGTGCAGCCTTGCAGGCTATTAATGACAGCTTTATTGAAGAAGAGGTAAAAAGGGATGGAGCAACGCTCCACGTCCAGGATCCGGGCGACTGCTGTAACTCGGTGCTAGTCAACCATGGTAGTTAATGTTTCCCGCTGGCGATCCCCCCCTATCTACACAATGAAGTTAGGTAGGTTTCAAAATGAAAGCTAGGCATCGCTCTACTACGACGCCCAACATCACGACGGCTCACGCATAGTATAGACATATAGAAGGCGGCGGTGCGGCGATTGCGACTCGCATCGGGTGGGTGGAGTTGGTACGTGGGGTTGGGTACTCATGTTTATGGTACGCCAAACCGAATGACCAGTGGAAAGCGACTCTTTCCGCTCTTCATCACGCCTTGCTAGACATCCGAATTTGGGTCATGAAATGGCGGCAAAATCGGGGCAGATAGAACCGGCTTGCCACCGCGGGCATCTTTCGATTTGCATATATGTTAAAGTGGCCGGCTCATGCACATCACTTATTTCCCCCAAAAAAAGAGAGGAAAGAAAAAAAAACAGAAAAGAGGAGCAAATGGGGTGGCGCGAGATCAGTAAGAAAGGAAGTGGGAATTGGATAGTGATGTCGAATCCCAATTAAGAGAGGAAAGGATGATAAAGAAAGGAAGTAAGATCTTGATCGGCACCGGCCGAGCCCGGAAAGAAGGTGGGGGCTTTGGGAGGGGGGTGTGGGAGAGAGGATTCATACTAATATTATTGCAAATTCCAATGTTCCCCGAAAGAGGCCAGCGGGGCGGGAGACCTGGTCAAAACCCAAACACCATACCATACCCTCTCTCACTCACTAACTCACTCACTCACTCACTCCCCGACACACAGCCCCCCCCCCCCCCCCAACCAAAAACAAATTAAAACAAAAGAGAAAGTGAAGCAAAATCTCTCTCTCTCTCCTCTCCCACAACTGGACAAAACACTTCGCCCATTTCTACTCTCGAATTATCGTCATTCTTTAAAACAAAAAGGAAAGAAAAGGAACCCAAAAGAAAAAGGATGATAGAAGAGAGATGAGGAGGAGGAGGACCTCTGCCCATGCCTACGCTGCAAAAGATTCGTTGGGGGAAGGGGAGAGGAGGGGAGCCGCTGCTGCTCCTCTTTAGCTAGCCCCCCTCCCAAACGTCAAATCAAAAGGCGAGAGAGTCTGATCTCCCCACCTCGCTTTCCCCCCAACCTTTATCTTTTTATAATTAAATATCAAAAACTCCTGTTTTGGCTTTTTTTGACAGAGACTTCACGACAACGATGATCGAATTTCGTCGCATCTTCTCTCTGTTTCTCTCTCGTCTCTCTCTTTTCATATTTTAATCCAGCTGTGTCTCTTCCTCCCACGTGGGGGGCGCGCTTCCGCTTCCCTCTCTCCCTCTCTCTATTTTACTATATCATCACTCTCTCTTCTCCCGCTCCACCTGGTTTGGTCGCATCTGCACCCACTCCATTTCCTCTCTCTCTCTCTCTCTCTCTCTTCGTGTTGGAAAAATATGAAAAGCGCTAAGTCTAGATGCTACAACAGCGAGACGGGTTTTTTAGACTCACTCCTCGGTCACCCCCGCACCAATTTACGATCGTCTCTTAATACTCAAATGCTAGTTCTGAAGCTAATCACCAAAAGGGGGAAGCATATCCCCGGGAAAAAGGAAGGAAAGGAAAAGAAAGTTATAAAAGGGATGATTCGACCTAATCGGCGACATCGATCCGATAATACACCAACAAAGGAGAGAGAAAAGAGGGAGGGGGTTCTACCAAAGTACATAAGAAGTAGAACATCGTGTGCTTTGTTTACCCCTCACCACTTCCACTCCGACCTGTCTATGAAACCTAAATTGGCTCGCTGTGAATTTCCCCAAATGAGGGAGGAGATATTTAGCAGAACTCCTCCCCTCCTACTCACCAAGACAAACAGAAGGATTTTTTTAGTAAGCGGCCGTCGTTGGTACCTAAACGGGTACGGATCTAACCAAAGACGGGCTCGGTTTAAATGTTGAATGAGCAGAAGGAAGAAACAGAGCAGACACACCCAGTCAAACACATATCTAAAACACGGGGGGCAGGAGAAGAGAGCAATAAGTTCCCCCAAAACCAATCATGGTTCCCATTCTCATCGCCATCCTACCGCCCACCATGCAATACAATGCCGATTGGTGGTGGATGAGGAGGACTCATCCATTCACAAGAATAAACAGTAATAAACTATTAGACACGCACACAGTTCATCAAACAGTAGTAACGTGCACAAAAAGGCAAAAAAAAAATGGGAAAATAATTCAGCCCACCGCTGGCGACTCTGAGACATTTGTCTCTCAACCTCTTTTCACTTTTTAGCATCATTTCATCTACTCCCTCCCCCCCTACTGCAACCAGACACACCCAACACCCCCCTCTCTGTGTGTGTGTCTCTCTCTCCCCCATCAGAGCTCTCTCTCTCATTTTTTATTCATTCCTGCTACATGACAAAACGGCTCTCACGTTACATTTTTATTCTTTCTTGTTACCCTTTAGTCCTTTACCCTCCCGTTCCGTGCATCGCAATTGAAAAAAAAGGAAGAGAGCTGGTCACATAAAACTAACAAATTTCAGAGTCTATTCATCTCCACGAGCACAACAGTTTTGATCAGAGAGAGAGACAGAGAGAGAGAGAGAGATTCCATATCTTTCAGGACATCAATTGGACAATAATGTTCCCGGAATCTCTGTCCCGAGCATCAAAAGGTAGCTCCAAAAACCCTCCCAATGGCCGGTTTGGCTTTATATCTCCTAATAATCCTCAAATTAGTCATCGCCCCCACTAGGGTTAGCACAAAAACCAAGGAGACCCACCTAACGAAATGCTGAAAAACTCAACTCCAAACAACACTAAACTAGTGATCAACCTTCCCTATGTACACAGACTGGCTCTAAATCTGAAGTCATCGCAAAAGAAAAAAAGCAAATTTAATCACCCAACCCGGGCGGCCCGGTAATAATCATGAACCCGAAGCAAAGCTGCTTCAACCACAGGACAAATCTCTGAAAACACCGACAATGCCGTCGCATTTACTAACCGGAGATGGGATTAGAGGGAGATTTCACTGACTCCGTTCGCTCCGGTTCTTGCCGTTGCTCTGCTGATTCCTTCCACCACCCGAAGATCCTTTCCCATTGTTGCCCTCCCTCTTCTGCTGCGAATAAGATGAAGACGACGCCGACGAGGAGGAGGACGAGGAAGAAAACAACTGACCCAACCCGAACACAGAGCCCGCCTTAATCGAACTGATTGGGACGTTGAGGACCGGACTGACCCTAACACCCGCCGAATACGATCTCTCCACGCCTCTGTACTTGAATCTGGGCCCACCGTAACTGCTCGGGCTGCTCGAGCTCCTCTCCAGACTGTGGAACACCACCTTCCCCGACGCGTTCAGCCTCGGGCTGTCCACCGTCACTCCCCTGTTCGCCAGGCCACCCGATGGCTCTTCCGTGGATCTCCGCATCGGGCTCCTCTCCGCCCTGCTCGCCGCCGGATGATGATCCGTCGACGGCTTCGGATTGTCCGGTCTCGGCTTCACCAGTCTCATCCTGGGGACGTTCATCGCTGCCACGGTATTGCCGTTCTTGTGGAGTAAGTTAGGGTTAGGCTTGTCGGAATCCAGCGACAGGCGGTGGAGGTCCTCGAGCTCGTGATTGGAGGAAGACGAGGACGACAGCGAGTGACGCGAAGAGATCGAGACGGACTCGCCGTCGGAGGATTCCCTGAGCAGCGGGAGGCTCAGATTCGAGGCATCGGAGGTAGATTTGGAGCTGCGGTGGAGAAAATGCATCACCGATTTGGACGGAGATTGGTTGCTCTTCGGAGCCGATTCGGCGCGCTTAGGGTTCTGATTCTGGTATAGCTTCTTGAGGCAGAGGAGCTCCTTCCAGCGGCCGGAGCTCATCTTGATCCTCCGGCCACGCTCGGAGCTGCTCTCCGGCGACTGGAGGCTCGCCGCGGACGGCGCCTCCGGCGAAGGCCTCGCGGCGGAGAGCTGGAGCGGGACGATCTTCCCGTCGGAGAAGAGCTCGTCGGCGGGGAGCATGGCGACGGGATCCTTGAGGCAGAACTCGAAGTCCCCGGGGGCGGCGGGCTCCAGGGACCCCGGCGGGTCCGCCGCGGGGCGGGGCGGGGAGGCGATCGGCTTGGGCGTGGGCGAGGGGTCGCCGTCGGGGAAGTCGCGGCTGAAGGAGGTGCGGGGGCTGAGCCATCCGTACGCCGCGGGGAAGGAGTCCGGCGAAATGCCGGGGGTGTTGACGCAGGCCGACGCCATCAGCGCGAGCTCATGCAAAGGCGAGAGAGAGAGAGAGAGAGAGAGAGGGAGAGAGAGCGAGAGGCTGAGCGGCGAGCAGCTCGCGAGAGGACGGTGAGCAGTGTGCAAGGTCCAATGCGAACGTCGAGGGAAGTGCACCGGCGGAAGAACAATGTAACAGAGAGAGAGGAGAGGGAGAGAGAGCGAGAGAGAGAGAGAGAGTAGGGCTTTCGATGCTGTTGTGGGGGGGAGTTTGGAGCCTTGTTTTTTAGGGAGGAAGGAAGGAAGGGAGAAGGGGGAGGGGCAAAAGCGGAAATGCCGACTGACTGAGCGCCAAATTAAATAACAGGAGGGGGGGGGGGGGGGATTCAGGAAGGCCACGTGGTTCTCGAATTTGGACTCCTGAGTTGTCAGTTTCACATGATGCCCCCCCGGTCTCGTTCGCTTGAGGCCCAAATCTGATGGGCCGAGGCCCAAATTTCCTAGAAATAGTGGGCCGCTGGTTTTTTCCATGTGAAACTTTCATCATCAAAGCTGGTCTTTGCGAGGGAGAGCGTAAGCATATGAAATACATCCGCATCGTACTTTAGCGAGTTAAGCTTTTCGAGTAAATGAAAGCGCACATACGAGATAACTTGATAGGATGAAGGAAGCTCGTGTGGGCTACAAGTATGAGAAACGGCTTGTGAGGTCCTTTGGCCTTTTAGGATGCCAATGGCCATGCTAAGCTTCCGGTGACTCCCTCGAGCATCGGTCAGTTAAAAGCTAATATCAGACCTCATAACATTACATCCTAGGACCAAAATTACCAAGTAAATCAGTATAAGCAAATGCAACCCACAATGCACGTACTACACAATACCATGATAACATTGCACGGCACCCGAGGCATCAGTTCAGCGCGTACATACATACAAGTACAACAGTATAATTGCAGCTGCTGAAGCGCAACAGTGCTCCTGATAAAATAGCTGCGGTGTCCGTGGCAAATACAGTTGAGGGCACATGGGCACTTGAAGTTCGCTACTAGAGTACAATTAACTTAAAATGTCTCGGTCTACTGAACCAAGGCACTGGTGTTGTACACGAGAAGTGCTCCTCCTGCAAGAATCCCAGCCAGGGTCACAGCCCATATGGCCAATCCAGTAGCCCCTGTCACACACACCATTCAGAGTAAGATGAACTGAAGTTAACTATTATGCTCAGCAAGTAGCTAGCGATTTCTATCATGGGATTGTGGATTTTTCACAAGTTGCAGGAGTACTCTGAGAAAGAAGGAGTAATGGCTAAGACAAGAACACACCACCAACATAGACATCACCAGTTGGAGACCAATCCTTTGTATCGTAGATGGGACTGTGTACATGAGAAAATACTATTCAGTTAGGCAATAAAAGGAGAAAAAAAGGGGACAGTTATCCATTTCTCACCAAACTATGGATTGCAGGAGGAAAGGAGATGTCTGTATACATAGATGAAGCAAATATGTCTATGAGATTGCTGATTTTGCATACCTGTATCCGTCGACGTTGGCGCCGTACTTGTCGACGAATTGGTAAACACCCTTTCCCTGTATTTCATTCTCATTTTAGATACTGACAGATATATATGATAAATTAAGCTAATTGGGACGCTATGCAGGAAGGCTTTGTTCTAAGTATATCGGCCTTCAGAGTCTAATAATAAGCTACCTCTTATCTTCAGTCTCTAGTATTTCAGAATTCAATGCAACAACACAAACCTTGGATTCTAAATCATTTAAAACCATCGGGCGAGGGATCGTTCAGTCGTCCCTAAAACGAAACCTATTGTCAAGTAAAAAATATCCAAACTAGGATTTGGTTCTGATAAATTTTCGTATTCGTTGCTCAATGACAGCTTCTCAGAACAAGTTTTCAAGAATTATCACTGGATGAGCAATGGACAATTACGGCAATTACAGTCAAAGAAAGAAGAAGGAACATAAGAAAACGATCACGGCACCAATTGGACCAACCTTAGGCTTCCTCCCAGAAGCATCCAAACCGTCTCTCAGGTTCATTCCCCCACTGATTCCTGCAAATGTCATCCATTCCCCACAACAGTGTCATCTGCTAACTGACGAACAAAATCCTAGAAGCAACTCAGGCAGTGGTCTACCAAGTCATAACCATACCCTCTCTCACTGGAGACAACAAATTTGTTCAGCAAACAAAACCCAAAATCTCATTTCGAATTTACACGTTACTTCATATCCCTCATCCATGCATACCATCAGCAACAGATCGGCTACCCCAAAGCATGTTATACATCACCCGCAGGAATCATATACAGGACATGACAAGCCAATCACGCCTCCACAAAATGTTTGCATGTAGAAAAAAGGAGAAGGTATCAGCTACATAAGATGCTTTCCCGTGACGTTCCACTTGGTCGTGCTTTGCTATAGAAAAAGATTGGGGAACAAATAATGAGTTACCATAAGGCTTGTCGGTCTTGATCTTGCCACCTTTGGCCTCCACTCTGAAGGAAGAGGAGGTCCTGGCGAGCGAAGGGAGCCCCCTCACTCCCGATCTCTCCGCCGTGAACGGAGCTGGTTTCAGGCTCACCGACGCCATCACTGAAGCCGCCATTGCTCTTCTTCTTCTTCTGCTTCTCCTCTGCTTTTTCTCTTTTCTCCTCCTCCTCCCCCGCTCAGCTTCCACCAGGATATGCCCGCACGCACTGTCGCTCCACTAATAATATTTCTGCGTATCCAGGGACCGGGGAATCAGAGCGTTACACGTGGCACGGGTCGTGTGGCTGGAATTGAGATAACAGAGGGAGGAAGTTTATCAACACGCGAGCCCTTCTGGCCGGTTCTATGGCTAATTTTCTCCGGTACCGGTGGCATCATGCTTGGGGATTATGGATCATGTGGGAACCCACGAATTCTATTATCGGTTCTTTCTTGCTAGAAATTCTTGTTTTTTAATAATTTTTCTGGTCGAAATTAAGGAATTTTCATTTTAAATATTGCGCTTAGTGACATGATAATGGAACAAAAAGACTCCAAAGACGAATCTGTGGCTGTAAAAATTTGGAGCAATTAAGCAAAATCCAGACGATTGACAAAAGGGTCGATGCAGATTGCACTCCGACAATGCCTATGTAGTTTACAGTACAGCGATATTGAGCTGCCATGGAAGTAGCTCCTTTGATTGGCATTACACCAAAGACAGAAATGTTGTAATACAAGTAGAGATGCGTACAAATGCATCCTTTTTTTATCTGTTGATCACGTAAATCGATTGACCAGATATAGATCGTGCCCTCGACACACTGCTTTAGTGGCTGCACCTACTATGCCGCACGCATTAAGATGGAACGATCACTACAAGCAGCTAAACATTTCGGTCAGCTTGGAAGCCGCAGCCACGCCACTGATTATAGCACCCTCAACATTGGGACTGACACAGAAATCTCCACATATGGCGAGCCTCCGTTTCTTATCCCATAGGCACTTCTCTTCCGCAGCCACACTCGTTGAAGGAAAGGCACTTCCCCTACAAGCCCACATGGGAAGAAACAGTCTTGAGTTATGGAAGTAAACAAAGACTTCATATTTTGGGCCAATAATACAGAGAATGTATTAGAATTAACGCATCAAACAGCTGAAGGCTGCACAAGCGCATCAACGCGAATGCAGGAAGAGGACCTGACCGAACAAATTCCGAACTGAGGTTCGGTGAAGGGTACTGATTTGACATACGCAGCTAAACACTTGAACCGACTTTATCTACAGTCATCCCCAATGAACATGTTCACTGTTTCGAAACTCCTACGGCCATTTAAAAGCCAGTTATCAGAAGTTTGGAGGATTATGCACACTGTCCAGTGCCTTCTTGAGGCGTGCACTTTCATCATAAAGATTATTATACTATCTAAGATCTTCTGACAAGTACATGTACATGAGAAGTATTTTCCTGAAAAGCACTTCCAGTCTCTCCATGCATAGTTATCATCAAGATTAAGAAAATACTCTTCCCAGGAGAATTCCACCATCCTTAGTGAATGATGTGCATCCGGGGATCACATTTCATCAGTATGGCATAGATTGAAAGGATTATTTTAAAATCACATGTCATAACCCTGGAGCTCCATAAAACAGAGTGAAGTTGTGACTATCAGAAGCGATCTTTAGGAGCACTGAAAAAATTAACGGGCAAAGGATGCCAAAAGTTGGTCGCACGCCACCTTGAAAGAAGCTATCCTCACTATGGAGGCAACATATTTTCATAGCAAGGCATTATTACAATCATCATCACAGCTGATATTTGTGCCAGCGAGTTTTCTTCCATTTTGGAGATGAATAATCAAAGCAATTTGAAAAATGGTTTTCCATGGAAGATTTCAATCATCTGAGGGAGAGAGAGAAATATGGATTATAATCAAATGCGACAGAGTTATTAATCCAGAATAAATGGAGAGTCCATTGAAAGAACATTCTTTAACATTTTTAGTAGAAATGGCGCCAACAATCGACAACAACACCTTTTAGAGAAAACAGTTTCTCATTTCATGTCTACAGGACACTACTTTGAATCAAGGAACACTGGCGGACTACCAAATGCAAACACACAACTAAAGCTAATTATAACAGAGTAAAACTAAGAAATCTCTAGCTTCCATGATTCAGTTAGTAAACAATGTGATACCATCTCCAGTGTCACCATATTTTAGCAAAACGTCGTAAGAGCATGTCAATGTTGGTAAAGGCTAAAAGTGATGCGCTTCCATCATTTGGTAGGAGTGGACTTCATGGTGTCACATATCAGGCAGCTAGCCTCTGCTTAGCATTCACAGTCCGACATTATCATCACACGACTAATTATAAGAACAAGTACCAGAGTCTACGGATGATACTTACCACCTATGGGCTTTCTTAAAGAAAGGCTGAGGTACATTCAGTCCCATGTTCTGCAGTTCCTCTAACAGTTCTTCAGCTACCTTTGTCAATATTGCATCCGAAAGTTTCTTGAGTCCAGTTTTTGCAATTACAGTCTCGGCATATTCCGCAGTCGAATGCAGTACCCATCTTTCACTAGGGTGGAAAAGCGCAAAATTTAAGAGTATACAACAAGAAGCAAAGTAAAATTTAATAGATACGTAAGGATGCAAAGAAGAACCTAGCAGCAGATCGCCCTGGCTTGGAGCTGTCACAATGAGCCCAGGTTAAGACTTTGGAGTTTCTGATTGTGAAACCCTTAAAAGGTATCTGAAATATTTTCATTATGCACCAAGGCCAACCATGTAAACTTCACAATGTTGGCATGAAAGGAAGCATGATGAAGCCCTCCCCATGAATGGGTTATAGGAAAAACAGAAGGTATATATTATGGATATTAGGCAAGATTTATCTGTTGAAAGATCAAGAAAACATGCAAAATGCTTATAAATAATGCAAGTTCTTACCCAAGACAGAGGCTCTGGAAATGCTAGCATGACTGCAAAACATGGACTAACTGAAATATCTTGCACCTTGTTGCCTAAATCAGGAGCCAAATTCAAGTCTGCAGAGATGTCAAATTACAGAAATCATCACTTCTATGGTCATTCATTGCACCACCGTAAACCTAGCACCCTTCGGGTTAATTAGAAATAGAAAAAATCTCTATTATACCGTCCACAGTAAAATCAGTTAAATCTTTGCTTGTGCTGTGCAATTTTAAGGAGGCAAGGCTAAGTGTGTGAAAAATAGGCCACTGATGGCAATTCCTGGAAGATTCTCGTTCTTGAGCTAATAATTCACAGAGGTAATCCAAGAAAGTACGTATTGGGGAATGGTTCATGAAACAAACTCAACAAGAGTCTAAAAGTACTAGAACAATCCGAAATAGGCCCGAATGCACCCAGAAGAACTTTCATAAGAATCAACTCTAAACAACCTAACAAATGTTATGGAAGGTCTGGCACTTGTAGCCATAGAAATCAGGAAATGAACATTTTTCACTTCCCTAATGATTATATTCTTGAGATGAAAAAGAAAATTGACAGGTGCAGGCAGATCAGCTGTGCCGCCCGCCTCTGCTGAAAATAAACTTCCAATAAGGCTCAGCTACAGGCCAAGTCCTTCATAATATTAGCACGACGAAGTCCAAATAATAACCATCCCACCTAAAGGCGGCGGTCTTCCAGTTACACTTGTAAACCTTGAAGAAACGATGTTTTTATCTGATGCAACCACTCCCTCAAAATGCCCAAGGTTTTGTCCATCCAAACTGGTCAATCTCCACGTATTTTCTTCTTCCAACCAGTCCACCCTCCCAACACCAACCCCAAACTTGCTTTCCACACCTGAAGAAAAATGCAGAGTGAGGAAAAGCAATTTTTCAGCATAAATGCTTGACTACAAATAATTATCTGAAGAAGAAGAAACAGACAAATCGGAAAGTACCTGGCTGATGGCATAATGCTCTACAGACAGAATTCATTCCAGGAACACCAACGTATCTTCTATCAGATCCTTTCTACAAAAATTTGAGATGAAAAATATGTAAGAATTGGCAAGAAACAGTTCATATCGGTGTGCAGGACATCACTGGCACTATGCTTGAAGATACAAGAGCAAGATCATGAGAACATGAGCATATCTTCTCGCTTCTTCGTAGGCATAGTTACTCTTAGTCGATATCCATTAGTATTCCATAAAGTATGGACTCGTTGCAAACCTGCTCTGTCTCGGTGAATGTTTTGGTGATGCAATCGAATGAACCAAACTTTTGCTTCCACTCAGCAACAAGGCCTCTCGATTCCCATTCGCAAACTAGACCGAAGGCTTCGGAACAGTTGTTCACACTAAAGGAAGGAGCGCCATGGTCGAACAACAGCTCCTTTCCATCTCCGGTAGTTTCTCTATTCCAATCGTCAAAACATCAGCAAAATCACAAACCAGCAGCTCATGATTAGGTTGAAACAGAACATAGTAATCATCTCAATCTAGGATTTCAAATCCGATCGTTGTGTGATTTACAAAGCAGCACAGGTAGACATTACACACTCGAGCAAACAGCTTAAAAACTACGTTACGTGCTTCCATCCACACGCTCTCTCGGTCAAGCACTACCGACCTTCATCGTCGCCTTCTTTTTTTTTTCAATTCACACTTCTTCAGCTACTAAATAAAGCTCAAAGCCATAGCGAGTCGGCAGCAAATTGCAAATGCAGATGGCCAGTTTCATGATGCAGCCGCACGAAAACCTAACCTTCTCTGAGACATGCGGCCGCCGGGACCTCGGGCGGCGTCGAAGATGGTGACGGAGGCTCCGCTCTTGGCGATCGTGGAGGCGCATACCGCTCCCGAAACTGCGCCGGAAAATGCGTTCAAAGACTTCAATCAGGATAAAACGCTCAGCGGCGCGACCAAATCGATAAGAGCAAAAAGCTTCGAAGTCGAAGAAGAAGGTGGAAGCTGACTTCCGCTTCCCAAGACGGCTATCTTCCTCGCAATGCCGGCAACGGACACGCTTGTCTCCATGCTCCTCGTTGTCTTGTCTTCTTCGTCTCCTTCTTCTTCGTCCGACCGCTAGTGCTGGTACTCGTGCTGACCCTCGGACAATCCCGTCTCCATCTGTACTGCATCTGCACTGCAAACGTTTGGATCGACCCACTTTTGATCACAAAATTTTAAATCATTATTACCCAATTCCACGAAAAATTGTGGATACGAACCCCTCTCTTCGTGAACAAATTCCGTATCAAGAGATTCACATCTTAACTTTTTCTAACCGCAAAGTGATCAAATGAATTTGTTTTTGATGAATTAGTGATGAATATCACGCATCGCGTCTATTTTTATTCTACTAAGTAATCGATCGAGTATTCTTACTGATTTTGGCATTACCTTATGAGTTACGGCAACAAATGCACATACATTGACTTGACTTGTGGACATTATGCGAATATGATCGGGTAGTTGAGTTTCGTTTTCTCGGGTTGATGGACGTTGGATTCTTAAATCGATTGGGTAAGCATACCGTTTTCTCGGGGGGCCCTAAAGACCTCGTTCTTTCGAATTTCTTGATAAATGGCACTTGGGCAGGAGCTACGTGGCGTGGGCGCCATGAGTAAAAGGAAATTGATAATTATAAAAGAAGGTGGCTGAAAGTTGAAAGTTATTGCGAAATGTCAATTGTGTTTTTTCCTATCTTTTTATTATTTAATGTAGGAGCAATTTGAAAAAAATCACTTTAAAAGTGAGACGAAGCCAACCTTTAGCTGACATGGATACATAATACGTTCAGGTGTTTCTTTTCTTCTTTGCCATTCATATATTCGTACATGATAACATTTTATGCGTTTAGCTTAATATATATTACTGTTGTTGTTGTTGTTGTTGTTTTGCCATTCACGGTTTCAAAATTGATAATTTCCTCATTGTAAGAATAAGAGGCGAGAGCCCAAAACTAAAATAACACATGAACTCGTCTCAGTAAAGACATACGATCACCTACAATCAGATGGGCTAAACCTTGTGGAAGTGTGGGTCCAAAATCACCTTTGAAATACTCCATGAGAGCATAATCTACGAGTTTTTAATTGCATGTTAATGACTCCATGGGAAACTTTTAGATGATTTTGGAGCACCCCATTTTTGTAACCCAATTGCCAATACACAATGAATTCCCTTTAATCATTTGCGGAATGACAGCAGTTTTCGGCATTTTGATTAGCTTTGGACGAAGGGGAACATTACTGTCCCTAAAAGTACCTATTGTCCAAAAAGTCTATTGTCCTTGGACATCGGGCTAATCCAAATTTAAAATTTTCAATCTGATCAATCTAATCATGAACCTTTTGACAATTTACTAATACAGTCATTATGATCAATTTTGATCATAAATCGCTGATATGGACACGGGGTGTTTTAAGTGGCGCGGCCAGCATTAACATGGAGCATTTTTGCAATAATTTTAAAATTATTGAGCTTTTTTTTTTTGAGTTTTTTCTTTCCTTTTCTTTCCTTTCTTTCTTCTATTTTTTTTTTCTATTTCCCTTCGCCAATTTGGGTCCTTGGTGATGGCCGGTAGAGGTCGTTGCCCACAAGTGAGGGCGTTGCGGTCCTCACCGGCCATCGCCAGGCCCGATGAGGAAAATAGGAAAGAAAAGAAAAAAAATATGAATATTTAAAAACAAATTGTAAATACCGTCAACGTCAGCGCCGGTCATGGCATGTAGAAGGCACAGCATTCATGTCAGCGATTTATGGCCAAACTTGACAGGACATACTATATTGACGAATCGTCAAAATGTTTAGGATTATATTGGGTAAATTAAAGAAGTCTAAAATTGAATTGACTTCCGTACAGTATGTTTATGATTTTTTGGACAATTTTTTCTAAAAAGGTTCTTTTCCTTCTTGTGAATTTTGCTTGGTTTGAAAAGAAAGAATGGGCTTGGTTCCAAAGAACCATGGAATAGTAAGTTTCAAATAAGAAAATACGTAAGGGCAATTAAGTTCTGAGTCGCTTCACGGGGTAATGTCAGCATACAAAAACACCTGCAAGGACCAATCGGGTTTTGCCAACCTCGAATCCCATCATCCTTTAGACGACCCGTGACTAAAGACAGATGAAGATCCTCTAACCCGAACAGTATAACCCCCATGCTAATTTATCGCGCTAATTTATGCGGTAATTGAGATGCGTGGCATTTGAACCTTTTATGTGTATCGTTCGATACTGTCGCATCAAAATGCTTATATGGACGTTGCAACATTTACCTTCACACGTGATGGAAATTCAGTCGAACCGTTTCCTCACCTAGGGGCTGCTAAATTACGAAGTTGGCGCAAATTGACCGATTTTTTCCATAGATTAAGCCGTCTGTTCCCATGCCTAGAAGGATGCTCGAATGAATATCAATTTATTGGGGTCGCCGGCCTTAGCCGCACACCACCCATTACATGACAATATCGTTTCCTCGCTCTGTATTAATTCGCAGCGAGTAACATCAAGCTCGAAGGACAAAATTATTGATTCGTGCTTTGCGAGATTGATGCGACACGCGACGATCATGAATGCATGACATTTAAGCTGTCCCGATACCCTTTCACACATGGTATCCGAATTGATATCGAACGGGTTAATAATCAATCGATTTTCCAATGTAGGTGTAAGGTATGAACACGTATGGATTGGATGATCCTGGCGATGAAAGACGGGCCCCTCTTTTATCTCGTTTCTGCGTTCTTTCTTTCTCCATCTTCCCCCTCCCTTCTTGGCAGACGGGGTTGTAATCATCCGAGAGACGATTCAAGCAGCCAAATCTGGAATTTGACTTTGAGAATTCGTATAAATCATTTTCATACGAATGATGGATGATCTATTGGGAAGTCTAACCTTAGACCGATTCTCTTTCTACGGGGGGGAAAATTCTTGCAAAGCACAAGTTTCACGTTCAGATGTCTGACTCCACTTTAGAAGCGGGCATGGCATGGGGACACACGTAATCCGTATACAAGTCTGACCTCTTGTTGACCCCGATCATCAAGTTGTGTGGCCTATGAATCGCATTCTCGGTTTGGAATCTTTTCGCTGAATTCGCCGTCTCCGTCCATTCCTTCGTGGAAAAGGCAACGAGTACCAAATTTGATGACGTCGCGCTCGCGCTCGCGCTCGCACTGTGCTCATGACGGGATGTTTTCTGCTTCTATGTTGCAAGTAGATCCAAATTAACCTATTTTCATGCAATACAAATCTAGTGGAGCATATCTGACTCAACTTAGCTCGAACCAGATTCGACTCGACCCATATTGCTAAATACTTATATATTTGACATAATCTAGAAAAGTACATACCCAAATTGAGGTGAGAGCAAATAGTGAGTGAGCGCGAAACCAAATGAGAGCGAGATAATAAAGAGGGAGTCATAGAAGTGAATTGGGTCTAAATAAGTTGTGAACCCATCTAATACCCATATTATTTTGAGCTTCACTATTCTAAACCTATTTATCCCATTTAACGAATATAATTAAACCACACAACAACCTAACCCATCAAATATGAGTTAAGAAATGAATTTATGATCCATATTGATAGGTCTAGTTGTAAACATGTGTAATTTGCAACTATCGTGCTTTAATCATCTTAGACATGCCCACTCTTGGGCGTAATAGCTCGATAGCGGAGACATCCGTCATCTTTCCAGTCGATACGAGATTGCGATTTCAAGATATAATAGGCTTTCGAGTTAATTTTAGCGTGAAAGAGCGTCATCATACTATCACGCTGTTACAATAACGACGGATTCATTCTTCCGGGAATCTCGACTTTAGAGACAACTTTTAGGGTCGAGAGCTTGGTAAACCTTAAATGCTCGTCATGGCACATTTACCCTGAATTTTTTTGTGACGTTAAAAATCTCAAATTATGTCTATTGTAATATATTTACACTAATTTTTTCTCGTTACATAAAAAAAATCTCAAACTTATATCTACATGACACATTTTACCATTAGATGATTTTTCAGCCAAAACAACATAGTTTTTATTTCATTTAAGCCATGTGGAGGTCATATAAATGTTTTTTGCTTTCTGGCGTTCATGTTGATAAATATTTAGTAGTTCTTATTGATGAAATTTTAAAAGAGGATAAATATATCATATAAAAATTTGAGATAAATGTGTCACGGTCGATACAATTGATAGCTTTTGGAGGGAGGGGGAGGGGCAGAGTTTTGGCCCTAGTTTTGAAGACGAAAGTTGTACGGCTTTGACGGGATGAGTGTGACACTTTTACAATAATGGCCCCGAGGAAGACGGAAAAGGTTTAAAAGGCCGACAAAGACACGAGGAAGAAAAGTCCACGCTCAAAGCTTTGGGGTTTGGTCAAACGGCAAGCAAAATGGGAGGGGACTCCCATGTTCCCATGCAGAACCCGAAAGGACAGTAATCGTCACGTAAGCGCCTGATTATACGGAAAATGACCGAGTCCCTCCACAGTAACGAACACACGTGGCTGATCCTAAACCATGCGTCTAATTCGACAGATCCCATAAACATTCGACGCCGAGTCCTAAGCAACACGAATATCAAATTACGACAATTCAACTATGCGACGCTGCTAGTAAAAAGATTGAAGGGTAAAAATACTAATATCACAAATGAGGGGTTCGATTTTCATGATTCGTAAGAAGTAGAGCTAAAGTTAGAGAGTGAAGAGAGTTAAAGATATGACAGATAAAAAAAAAATTTCTTTTCATCCTTCATCTTCTACCTCTGGAGTGAATATGTTCAAATCACATCTACCGCATGTAATTTATTATGAATCACGGGTGCATGCACAAGCCTTAGCCTTAATTGGTTAATGGGGGGGTGTGCAAAGTATTCGATAAGCTTTCGAGCAACTCGACCTCTGTGTTAGAGCTCTTGGATTATCGGAAAAACAAAAACAACTCTTTTACTCGTAGATTCAAATCTTTTATTACCGTGTATCGAAATATTCCCCGATCCCGAGAATTACTCCTTTTTTTATAAAGTTTTTAAGCGGAGGGAGAGGAACGATTTGTCACGGCAACCCTTATCAGAACAAAGGTGTGGAACATTTGACTTTCAAGAATGTCGATCCCTAGAGGAGTTTTGAGAGTCAAGATTCCGAGGATGGCAATCCCATCACTACAATCCCAAGCATTCTTAGCATGAAAAAGCGCACTTTTCACATGGGGCTCGACTCACGGGCATATTGTACTCGAAACTTGCGACTTAATAGAAAGACGGTGAGCTCTTTCTGCTCTTTATAATTAGGGAAAATGATACAAATAATTTCTGAACTTTAACTTAACGTGAAATGTGGTCCCCGAACTTTTATTTAATCAATGTGGTCTCTGAACTTTAATCTAATATGCACTGTTTTAATGTGATCCCTCCCGAACTTGAATTCATAGAAGGACAACATTAAATATTTCCATATAGTTCGGAAACTAAATTGAACATATACCGAAAATTCAAGGATCATATTAAATAAATTAAAATTTTAGGGACCACGTTACATGTAGAGCCAAAAATAAGTGACTATTGGAGGGATGGTTTCGGTATTTCTGTTGGCTAAAGAAAGCGGCTCGGGAAATGTAATATGATAATAATAATTATATAAGTATGATCGAGTCCATGGAAAGTAGCTTTCATGGGATCAATTGGCAGGGCCATTTTTTACTCGTCGGCCGAATTAAAGGAGGAGGAGGAGAGACGACGGAAGTACACGCGTCGCCCCCGTGGACTCGGCTGGGACTGCTGCGCGTACTATAGCCTGCGGCCCTGCGCCTTCCGTCGTTGCCGTGCGCATCTTGAACTCGCTTTGACCTCCGCACGCCTCTCTCCTATCTCTCTCTCTCTCTCTCTCTCTCTCCCCGTCGCCGAGAGTGTGTCTGCGACCTGCCCGCCATCATCGTTTCGCTCGAGGTAAAGTTCCTCCGTCTCCGTCTCTCTTCTCAGTTCCCTCGCGTTGACCAGGCCTTTCGATTCGATGGGCCGTGGATAGATTCTGGGTGCGAGCGAGACATTTGCTTGTTCTCGTGGACGAGCAATCTCTGGCTCGAAATCTGGGTACGCGGCTGGATGTTGATCGTGGCCGGAAACGGGAATTCTCCGCGCTCGCCGATGACCCTTTCCGCTATGTAGCTTCTTATAGTCGTCTCATCTGTTGCCTTGCCCGGCATCTGCTATAGGAAACAATTGCTCGAGAAAATCTATCTTGTTTTGCTGGTATTCCATTTACTGGTGCATGTCTGGAATAACATTCCCAATTTGTCTTTTTGGGCAGGTACTCAAGTGAGTCCTTTCGAAGCGTTCATTGAGAGTCGAGCTTGCCGACGAGGCTCATAACTGCCGTGCCTAACGTAGTTATGAGTTGTTTTCCGTTCTTGTGCCGTGATAAGGTGGATACGCATACCGGAGATGCTTATGAAGTCGATGGAGGTAAAGCCAAGTGGGCTCTTTTCATGTAGTAATTTCGGCCAGAAGCTTGAATTTATCATGTGTGATAATCGAGATTCATTCGAGAGGTTGTGCCTAATGAAAGCGTCTAATCGTGTGCCAAAATTGGACAGAAATTTCAAATATTCCCAATGTCAAACTCTTCAACTACAAGCAGTTGAAAGCGGCGACGGATGATTTTAGTGAAGCGTATAAAATCGGAGAGGGTGGTTTCGGCTCAGTTTATAAGGTAAATACTCCATAATTGTCACTTTACTGTAGACATTTTGGGCCTCGCTCTATCAGAACGTTTTGATTTATGATTCTAGTTGTTTCATCTGGCAATTTCTTGGTTGGTCAGGGGCGACTTAAAGGTGGGAAGATTGCTGCACTAAAGGTCCTCTCCGCTGAATCAAGACAAGGAGAGAGAGAGTTCTTGACAGAGATTAATGTGATATCTGAGATTGAGCACGAAAACTTAGTCAAGCTTTATGGATGTTGCGTAGAAAGTAATCAAAGGATTTTGGTTTACAACTATCTAGAAAACAACAGCCTTGCTCAAACTCTTTTAGGTAAAATTCACCAGGTTTTGTATTGGAGTCGGTATAGTCATACTTTATTACAAAAATGCGCCGTCCCTTTTTTTTTTTCTGGGTTCTCAGTTAGCCTTTCATTGTGCAACTACCGCCACACTTTTCTGTGTTCCATATATCCTCATGTCTAGATGGTCAGTTTAGTCAAATGCTACTTGCGCTAAAAACCTTCTCACTTTAGGTGGAAATCACAGCAACATCCAGTTTAGTTGGCAAACAAGATATCGCATTTGCATTGGGGTTGGACGGGGCCTTGCTTTCCTCCACGAGCAAGTACAGCCGCCAATTATTCATAGAGATATCAAAGCTAGCAACATTCTCCTTGACAGAGATTTGACACCCAAAATTTCAGATTTTGGGCTCGCAAAGCTTATTCCGGACAACGCTACACATGTTAGCACGCGCGTCGCTGGTACATTGTGAGTTCCTTCCTTCTTTGCGTTTTTCAATTACATCATTCAGATCTATTTATTTTGTCCATTTGCACTCCTTGATATGCGATTCTGGCGCTGCACTTTAATGTCGTTAACTCTGTTTGAATCTATTATGAGCATGACACAATTTAGGTTGACAAGATTATTAGTCATACTCTTAAAGAAATACTTTACGTCACTACACAGTTTAAGACCCCCATGCCTTTCTTTGTCGGGCTATGCAACTGGAGATTCTAATGGACTGATGAGTTTAGGAATGATTACGATAATTGACCTAGCTAGCAAGAACCTATGTGCAGGACTAATAAGTGGATGAAAGTCTCCTACCAGCACCCCAGCAAGATAGAGAAGACTTGTGTAAGTAACTCATAGGTTTTATCTTGGTATGGCCAGAATCTAAATGGATTATGTTAAGTCCAATGCACCGACTGTCTTGTGTCATCGCATCAATGCTTTGAAAAGAGAAATAGCCTCGTTTAGTATGCTTAACAAGCTTGGAGCACTTCATTAACAGTACCCCAGCTTAAATTAAGCCAATCACGAACCTAAAAGTTAACTAAGAGTGCATTGTCCTTGTAGGCAGCCTTCTACATTTGTTCTCACTTAGCAGAATGTTGTAACCTCCATTTGGCTCCCCCTTCCACACTTCGGAAGCATATTGATACTTTCTTTCCTGTCCTGCAGAGGTTATTTGGCACCAGAATACGCGATTGGGGGGCGTTTGACCATTAAAGCAGATATTTACAGTTTTGGAGTCCTCCTCGTGGAGATAGTTAGTGGAAGGTGCAATACAAATACAAGACTCCCCCCTGAAGAGCAGTATCTCCTTGAAAGAGTATGTACTCTTTGAGTGTTGTCTCTTTGGAGTCATTTTAGTCTCCTTTCTAAGATAACCCTGAATTTGCTTTGAATCAAGTGAATTGCTCGTGTCCCTGAGTAGTTGGCTTTTAAATAGTTTTAAGTAGATGATAAGTTCCTCAGCAGTGTAGGGAAAAGCTCTTTCCAATATCTGGTGAGGATGTGGTGTACCGTCATTTTGAAGGATTTCGGTTAGCACGTTTCAATATGGTTGACGGTTTTAACCAAAAGTTGGGGAGAGAAGTTTTTAACCATTCTATGCGCATTTTGAAGGATTTCAGATAGCATGTTCCAAAATGGTTGAAGTTTCCAACCAAAAACTAGGAAAAAAATTATTCAACCATTCTAACTGGAATTCGTCAAAATGATGGCATGTGCATTCTCATCGGACATTTAGAAGAGCTTTCAAAAAACACTTATGTCCCCAGCTTTTTGGTCACTACAGGTACTTCCAGACAATCACTGAAAACATAAAGGTGTCCATAGGACTAACTTTCAAATGTGCTCCAGCCTCAGTCTTCCTGAGGCTGCACGTTTTTCATCGTTGATGTGGTCAATGACCCTCGGGTTCTTTTTTTCCCCCTCGTATCTCTTCCTGTTTTGTAGGATGTTCTATTGCTAGAGTGATGCTGTAACTGGTCTTTTGTATAGACAGATATTGCTCTAGTTACTTGATCGGATAAAAGAGTGTGCTTACTGTGAAAATTTGTTATTTCAGACGTGGGATCTCCATGAACGGAAGGAGCTGGTTGGATTGGTGGATACATCTTTGAATGGTCATTTTGATGCTGAGGAGGCTTGTAGATTCCTAAAGATCGGACTCCTCTGCACCCAAGACAATCCCAAGCGCCGGCCATCCATGTCAACTATAGTTAAGATGCTTACCGGCGAGATAGGTATTGATGAAAATAAAATTAGAAAGCCTGCAATGATCTCTGATTTTATGGACCTGAAAGTGCGTGGTCCTCCAAAATCGAAGAGCACTTCCTATAACTTGACCTCCAGCTCAGATAATCGAGAGAATTCTACCTTGTCATCGGGTGCCTCAACTTCTGGTACCATGACCACCTTGGCGGCAAATGACCAGAGCCTTTGATCTCGTCTCCGTGTTGTCCTGTTTACAATTTGGTTTGTAAAGTAGATTCTTGCGAAATTTTTCCCCGGATTATTGAGGTTTGTTGGCTTGTGTAAATTGTTCATGCTGCTTCGTACAACATTTGCTTTGTGCTAAGTGACATAGAGGCTTTGCCCGTGTAAATTTACCCGATTGAATTGATTCGATGGAGAATTCTGCCGTTGTCTTTGTGTCTCAATCGGCTACATCAGATTGTTCTTTTTGCTAAGATCTAACAGGAAGGCGCTTGCATCACGTTGGGTGTCTCTCGGGTGCAGCTGCACTGTCGAAGCAGTGCACAGGGATCGCGAGGTATGCAGTTCCTTTCCAAACACTTTTCCAGGGGCTCAATTCGAAGGGTTAAATTGCTGGCTTCAGTTATGCTTGGTATCCAATGATTCATACGGTCGCTTGGTACACGAGCGAGCGAGCGAGCGAGCAACTCTGTTTGCGAGTTCGGGCCCATGAGGTCTGTTGGGTTTGGGAAGGTTTCGAAATCGAAGCCCTCTGTGAAGTTCTCTGTTTCCGTCACCTAATTATCCACGGCCCAATTCCATAAAAAACCCCAAACTTTAACCTTTATCCCAATTATATCCCAAACTTTTTTTTGTCTCATAAAAAACCCCAAACTTTTGCTTTTGTCCCAAATCTACCCCGTTTACTATTCATCCAATTTTTTAATATTATTTTTTCGAATTTTTTTCTTTTTTCTTTTCTTTTCTTTTCTTTTTTTCACCCTCAACCTCCGGCCGGTCGCCGGTCCGGCGACCGGCCAGAGGCGAGGGCCGGCGAGGTCGGCCCCGCCGGCCGCTGGCGAGGCTCGGCCTCGCCGTTGCTGGGCGAGGCCGACCTCGCCGGCGGCCGGACGGGGCCGAGCCTCGCCAGATCTGGCGAGGCTCGGCCCCGCCGGCAGCTGGCGAGGTCGGCCTCGCCTCGCCTGGCGAGTCTCGGCCCCGCCGGCTGCCCGGCGAGGTCGGCCTCGCCCTGCAACGGCGAGGCTCGGCCCCGCCGGCAGCCGGCGAGGCTCGGCCTCGCCCAGCAACGGCGAGGCTCGGCCCCGCCGGCTGCCCGGCGAGGTCGGCCTCGCCCAGCAACGGCGAGGCCGAGCCTCGCCAAATCTGGCGAGGCTCGGCCCCGCCGGCCGCTGGCGAGGCTCGGCCTCGCCGTTGCTGGGCGAGGCCGACCTCGCCGGGCTGCCGGCGGGGCCGAGCCTCGCCGGCCCTCGCCTCTGGCCGGTCGCCGGACCGGCGACCGGCCGGAGGTTGAGGGTGAAAAAAAGAAAAGAAAAGAAAAGAAAAAAGAAAAAAATTCGAAAAAATAATATTAAAAAATTGGATGAATAGTAAACGGGGTAGATTTGGGACAAAAGTAAAAGTTTGGGGTTTTTTATGAGATAAAAAAAAGTTTGGGATATAATTGGGACAAAGGTTAAAGTTTGGGGTTTTTTATGGAATTGGGCCAATTATCCACGAATCACAATTTCGACCCCATCTACACGGGACCCATACCTTGACTTCCACTAATGGCTATCATCTGGGTCATTTTTTTCTATCAGAGAATTTACTTTGTTATTAACGAGTGATTCAAGAGCACTTGTTATCTCCAATGAGCCGATTGCTCTCGTATTGCAAGTATTTCAAATAAACCGTTACAAATGACCAAGTCGCACGTACTCATTCAGGTGCAGAGATGGACTAAAGATATCCTCAGAAACTTACTCGGGAAAAACGAGAAGAAGATAACGTCCCTTTTCCTCTGTCCAAAGTCGACGTAGCGGAGTACTGGATAGATAGAGAGAGGAGGGAGAGATTACTCATGCACTCGGAAATGCGTGATGGCGAGCCCTAAATTTGACATTCAATGCGATACCACCCGCCCACCAACCTATCTGATAACCATTTAATGTCCCCGCGACACTTCAGCAAACGACTTTATTAAGAGTGGGAGAGAGGGAGGCGAGAGAGAGGGAGGGAGAGAGAGTACGATGATGAAGAAGGAGAGCAGCAGCAAGAATGGAGGAGAGAATGGAGAAGGGAACGAGAGGGTGCGAACGGCGGAGACGTTGATGAGGGTGGTGCCGATGGGTCTGTGCCTGACGGCTCTGGTGGTGATGCTCCGGAATTCCGAGTCCAACGACTACGGCTCCCTCTCCTACTCCGACCTTGGCGCTTTCAGGTCCCTCTTTTCTTTTCTCACCCACCTCACTCACGCCTCAGATAGAAGTCGGACTCGTGGGATGAAATCAAACCGGTCTCATTTCCATTGTAATTTGTATAGAGTACATCGTTAGCTAGCTCACTAAGCATTTTTGTGGTTTTTACATGTAGTACGGGACTTGCGTTCTTGCTTTTTTCTGTTTGATAATTCTTGCGCATGACATGCATGGATTGCCATTTGAACGAGCAAAGGAGAGATTTTCCTTTATCCCCGTCCATATGCTCTTCTTCTGTTTAGGGTCACGAGGGCAAAAAAAGTGGGTACCTGGTATGCCATAGATTTTGTTCTCCACATTTTTACGGTCAGCCCATGCAAAGCTTGGGATGAAAAGGGTCAACTTTCCGACTTCTTCAAGGAAGGGTAAAGAGATTGCTACCGTGACTGATATTGGAAGTAGTAAACGTAGAGTCAAGCACCACCAACATTTGTGGAACTTTCTGAAAGCAACTTGTTTGTAGTGCAAGTTCTTGTGTCGATATTGAAGAATTGGTGTTTGATGGAAGTGTTGTGTTGTGTCGTATCGTGTTGTAGATACTTGGTGCATGTGAATGGCATATGTGCGGGGTATTCGCTGCTCTCAGCTGTTATAGCGGCCATGCCTCGCCCTCCAACCATGTCCAGAGCTTGGACATTCTTCGTCCTTGACCAGGTATTTCATTCGTGTCTCCGAATCATAATTCCATAACAACAATAAAAAACCAAAGCAATTTTCAACCTCACCATAACATGTATTGAAGAATTTCACGAGAGCTCATAGGTGGGTAATCTTTATATATGATGCAACAAAGAAAATCTTCTGTCAAGTACATAACACTAACATTCGATGTCCGAAATGATGATTCGATCTCCTAGATTCTCTTTCCATGTATGTGCAAAAACTGTTTTCTCCATTTTTTGCTAACAAAAAAGAAATTGTACTGTATCTAACGAAGTTTGAAATATAGGTCCTCACTTACGCAATACTGGCTGCGGGAGCTGTGTCGACGGAGGTACTGTACCTGGCATACAAGGGGGATGCGGCAATCACGTGGAGCTCTGCGTGCGGGTCGTTCGGAGGGTTCTGCCACAAGGCGACGGCATCTGTGGCCATCACCTTGGCAGCAGCTGCTTGTTACGCGGTGCTTTCGCTCATGTCTTCGTACAGGCTCTTCAGCAGATTTGATGCCCCGGTTCCTTGCACCAGCAAGGGCATTGAAATCCCAGCCTTCCAAGGGTGAAAGTAGAACCTTCTGTGTGTGAGTTCCTCGTTGAGGGGTTGGGTTTCTTGGCAGTTGCTTAATAAACAAAGCAACAAAGCTAGTATGTCACGGTATAGCGTCTCAATGTGGCATTTGGAATCCAATTAAGACAAGTCCATGTTCGTCCTCTTTTTCCCCTTTTCTGCTAAATAACCGTGTTTTGATGGAGAAGAACTTACATCTCACGAGCTGATTTCCCCACTCAAAAGCGACACGAGCATGCGAATAAATCATAAATTCACTCTTACAAGGTTCCCACTTTTCCGTCTACAACCATACGGCTCGGATGCTAGGTCAGAGGGTCTGAGGTTAATCCACATTAAGAATTGAAGAAGAGAAGATTTTATTAGAAAGAATTCCGAGAACAGCTATGTAATAGCATTAATGCATGACTACATCCCCGGTAATCAAGGACGTCATTGGATTGATGGACCGAGCAAGAATCTTGTTAAAGATCAACGCATGCCAAATCTCTTGAAATAGACATCTACTCAGAATGGAATGGAGCACCAATCACAATGACTCCACCATTCAATTTTAAAAACAATAAAGAATGAATTCAAGCTTCGAGCACGAACTTAATCGATCGGTAACTATATGTATATATTTCTCCCGGTAGCAAAAATCCTGTGACAACAGGTTTCACGAGCATCAGTCTGTACTCTGTCGTCCGGAAGCAACCAGACCTAACTCATAAGAAAGGCTAATCAAATAACAGTGTTGGACCATGGAAGGATTAAAAAGAAGAGCAATGAACAGAGTCTCAACTTCTTAAATCTAGATTACAATAGTCCGCAGTTGAAATGTATCCAAATAAATAATATTTGCTGCCCCAAAAATAGAAATGCTTAAATCAGTCTTCGCAAAAGATGCACTGTTATTCTTCAAAATCTTGTTCATTTTGCATCGATGGATTATTAATATAGATAAACCTTCCAAGGTAGACAATCAGCCCTCTCTGCAGCTTTGCTTGCAACTCCATGCCAGTAGCACTACCTATAAAACTTTGATAGTTCAAGCAATGATCTCTCCATGTGGGGAGAGAAATAAAGCCAACAAATAGATATGACAACACATAAATGGTCCAAATTATGGAGAGATTACAACCGCATCAAACTTTGTCTGATGAAAAAGAGTTCAGCAAGGGAGTGCAAAATTAAAATTCCTATCTCAGGATATGCTGCACACTGACATTATCGCGACAAGTTTTTCCCCTATGTTAAAGTATTCAAGTAATAGACGATTCCTGACGACGTGCGCTTTTAGAGCATTAGGTAGTGATCCCAAAGTTTCTAGGTGGTATCATAGCACGAAATCTTGAGTTCAAACCTTTCGAAACCCCTTAAATGTCTCCCTAAGTATAATTAATTCCCATGCTTCAATTAACCAAAGATCAGCCTATGTGTGAGAGGAAGTGCTAGAGTATTTAAATGTCAAACCATGTCCCACAAACAACTTAAGTTCATGAATCAGTTGGTAGTGGTCTCACAACCTTTTTCTATTTTTATAAATGATTATTTACAGAGAGAGTGACAAAGAGGTCAATTGCTACAACCTATTGCATCAATTAATTGAAAATTCTCAGGACTCTACCCATCAGTGATCACCATTGAAGAGAGTAACTTAGAGGTTTAAAATGATAAAGTGGAATGAGCTTGGGATGGAACAAGTCGGTTGATGGAAGAGAATGAAATGAGATTAGTATTCCAATCCTCAGAATATCAATTTCTCGTCTTGTCTCAGTAAATATGTGAGAATGTTAATTTGTATTTCAAAAGTATTAAGCAAGAAAAATGAAAGTACCCTTTTTGAGCAAATTCTTGGTTTTTTGTGCTGCAATACAATTAATATTTGTTATCATAGAGGAGGAAATATTCCTTCAACCAGAAAGGGCCACCTAAAGAAAATTGCGCTAAATGCAAAAAAGGGAATCGAAGCCGGAATCAAGTCTTCGTTCCAGCCAATTCCCTGCAACTAAGTGATTCCTTAAGACTGTCAAATGCAGAATCAGTACTCCACACAAAATCCTCATATGCACTCATACTCTTAAGAGCAGAAACAAGGCTTGGTCTAATGACAAAATCAGTAAAGAGTAATTTGCTGCGCCTTCCTGAAATCACCACAAATCATGTGGCATTATTTATAAAGCTTCTAAAGAAGGCCAACAGATATATTGGCATTTCCCAGGCTTGATCCTCTGTATGAAAAACATGATTCAAAAGAAAAGTTTACACATATTTTAGTATCAAGCAATCAGAATCTCCATGTCTAGACTCATTAAATGGTAAAGTTGAGTTCACTGAAGATCATCAACTGTTGGACCTAAAATCACTATAAGATTAGTATAGTGCTGTTTCAATTGCTATTTGAAGAAAACTTGACCATTATTCATAGGGAAAGAAAATAGAAGTAAACATACATAAGGAAGTTACAAACACTAAAAGACTAAATTAGAAAGTCTGTATTCTGGATAACAGGAAATGAGGCGTATAGATAGCCATCAAAAGATGAGAACAATAAAGAGAGATAATAAACAGGGAGACCCCGTAAAAACCATCACATAGGGCAATCTTTTCAGATTAATTGAGATCCAGCATATGCTAGATGGCAAAAGAAGGCAGATCCGAACTGGCAGTATGAACTGGGTATTGTAACCGTTTCTTTTAGAAAACCATGTGATAAAGAAAAGGTGACTTTGGATAGTCAAAGTATAATAAATTTGACAAGACCACATTTAGTTTACATTGAAAGTGCAGAGACTGTCGACTGTATAAAGTGTTACCTGCACTACCAGATCTTTAGTGGGGCCCACGACTTTTGCTGAAGGAGTGGCAAGCCAAGAGAGTTCGACTGGGAGTTAGGTGCTCATCCTGCAAACATGTAATACAAGATCACCAGATTAAACAAAGATGACTTCGCAATCAGAAAGAGAGAAAATTACACGATAAACTAACATTCCAGATCCTGAAAGATCAACGTGTTTGGTAGCAATAACAGCTATCATCCCACATGTACTTTTATAATGCTTACTAATAGTTATAATATGACCCTCCTATCTAAAGAATATGGAATGGCTATCACAACTTCCAAGCTGTTCCCAAAGTGCCCCTTCCTTTTTCCTTACACACTGGACCAATAGTCGGTTAATATTAATTACAATCATCACCTGCACAAGGAATCTAATTATAGTATTTGTTAATGTTAATGGTAATTGTTATTCAAATACTAATACAATACTCTGATAATATATTGGAATATTTACAGATAATCAAATTACGAATAATGTATTAAATGAAAAAAAGCCTTTTTGCTTATATGAATATATATTATAATATATGATTGACATAATATTACTCGTCAAACAATGAGGATAATTTTTTATTAGTTAGTTGATTATTGGGTATGATTATACAAATTTCACAAAATTTTTGGTAAGACAACATTTCAAACATTATGCATGATATAATAATTGCATGTTATATAAAAATCCACATGATTATTAATTACTTAACATAGTATTATACATTATTATATAACTAATCATCAATTAACACTATCGTTTATTTATAATAATAAAAAATAAGTTATCTCGTCAATTACTATATTACTTATAATTACAAAATATTTAATGTGTTAGGGCATAAAGGCATTTTGGACATTTAATCTCCATTCATTTATTACAGCTCCAAGCTAAACAAAGTAATAGCTATTCCATTACATAAGCCCGAAAGTGTAAGAGTTATTATAATTACAAGCTTAACCATTACTATTGTAACCAAACGTGCAGCAAAGACCTACAATTGATCACCAATGTCACCATTATCTGGAAATTCCGTGCGCTATCTACCACTAACTAAAGCACTTCAATACATACCCCTTTACCCATTAAACTAAATCAATAGGATAGCCCTGAAGTATCAGAAAATTCCAAAACCAGAAGAGGCAAAAAAAAAGACGCAAGCAGCTACATGAGTAAAAATAATACAAATCCAATCAACCTTGTGCCGAGATGCAGCTGACTCAGATTCCACAGTTTGGATTGGGACTTGGCCAAGCGATTGGAATGCATCAAGTGCATCTAGGGTCAGCTGCCAACCACAAAGAGCTGTAGCAATTGCAGAAGAACTGGAACCCTCACTTGTGCTTCCAGCGGCAGCAACATTTCCATTTACCCATGGGCAGAAAGTATTATGATGCTTAATTGGATCAAATTCAACACTGCCTTCATAATTACTCTCTGCAACAGGTACCCCTGAAACCCAAAGAGCAGAAAAGGAAATGATAAGCAAAACGGGAAATGTTGAATTACAAAAGAAAAAAATCTGCCTCCAACCCTGCCTGCTCCCTACGTGGCTAACTATGATTGGCTGTCGTACAGGCGAATTTAGATGCATGCATAAATTAGGACTATATGCAAGTATGAATGGGCCTATAAAAAATTTGCCGCTTAAGAGGCAAGAGCTATATTGGAGGCGAACACATTAAGTGTGAAATGAAAAGCAAAAAGGACATGGATAACTTGGAGTGTCATGTTTGTCAAAGCATTCTCAAATGCTTTGACAAACAGTTGAGACAAGATAATTTTGTCGCACTAACTTCACAGCTGTTCCCAGTCAACAAAGTAAAACTGTAGTACCCAATAGGCAGGAATTCCATGTCCATAAATCTTAACCCATACCATTTCCTGCCACAAAAGCAGACTCAAGGTAAGCACCATCATTTGCGGGAGAAGACTGGCCTCCTTGCATTACTTCATCCTTTGATGCTTCATATCCAGAACACATGATTGCATTACAGGAAAGGGATGGATGAGCGATATTTTCTTGTGCTAACATATCCATGCTAGCCGTCTTATCCCCACTTTGAACAGATTCCGCCTTAGCTGAACCAACAATTTTCGACCCACTGTCTGCCCTTCCCACTGAGCGGGACACCACATCTTGGCTATCCCCATGAGGGTCCTCTCGATCCATATCTTCAGGAATAAAATTATCTGTATGCCCGTGATCTGGAGCAAATTCCCCCGTCTGTCCCTGATTTTCTATAACTTCAGCCACTGGTTCTGCATCTCCAACAACACTATCACACCTGTGAACAGATGCATCAGTACCATGAATTTCTGCCTCA